TTAAATCTAACATTGAAAAAACGAAAAAATGCAAAAATAAAGACGAAAAAAAAACGAAACAAAAAACTGCATCGCAAAACATTGAAGAAATGAAAAATCGAAAAACTGAAAAATTTAAAAATGAAAACTTGAACATTTGCACATCGTAAAATTGAAGAAACAAAAAGGAACAATTGAAAAATTGAAAATTATAATAATAAAGAGAATGAAAAACTGAAATGAAAATTTTCAAATCGCAAATTTGAAGAAATGAAAAATTACAGAATCGAAAAATTAAAAACTGAAAACTCGGGAAATTCTAAATGGAAAAACTGCAAAATCTAAAAATTGAAGAAACCAAAACTAAAAAATTGAAGAAAGGAAGATCTGAAAAAATCTAAATTGAAAAAACAAAAAATCATAAAATCGAACAAATGAAAGAATAAAAAAACCGAAACGAAAAATTGAAAATCAAAAATTTGAAGAATCGAAAAATTGAATAAATGAAAAAGTTTTAAAATCCAATAATCGAAAAATGGAAAAATTCTAGAATCGTAAAATTAACAAAGTTAGATAATTTAGAAATTTATAATTTTTATTCCATATTTAAAATGAAAAATATCAAAAATTGAAGAAACGAAAAACTGAATAATCATGAAAGTGATGATCTAAAATTGAATAAACGAAAAATTAAAAACCCAAGGGTCAGTTTATACAATGCTTTAATTGAGATTAAATTAATCAATCACGCATTTAATGAGACGTTTAGCGACCTCTGATTGGTGCAGAGTCGGTCACGTGGTACTTTCCCGCATTAAAAAATTAATTGAGTTTTTGTAAACCGGCTCTTAAAGTTGAAAAATCCAAAAATTGAAAACCGAAAAATATTTAAATCTAACATTGAAAAAACGAAAAAATGAAAAAATAAAGACGAAAAAAAAACGAAACAAAAAACTGCATCGCAAAACATTGAAGAAATGAAAAATCGAAAAACTGAAAAATTTAAAAATGAAAACTTGAACATTTGCACATCGTAAAATTGAAGAAACAAAAAGGAACAATTGAAAAATTGAAAATTATAATAATAAAGAGAATGAAAAACTGAAACGAAAATTTTCAAATCGCAAATTTGAAGAAATGAAAAATTACAGAATCGAAAAATTAAAAACTGAAAACTCGGGAAATTCTAAATGGAAAAACTGCAAAATCTAAAAATTGAAGAAACCAAAACTAAAAAATTGAAGAAAGGAAGATCTGAAAAAATCTAAATTGAAAAAACAAAAAATCATAAAATCGAACAAATGAAAGAATAAAAAAACCGAAACGAAAAATTGAAAATCAAAAATTTGAAGAATCGAAAAATTGAATAAATGAAAAAGTTTTAAAATCCAATAATCGAAAAATGGAAAAATTCTAGAATCGTAAAATTAACAAAGTTAGATAATTTAGAAATTTATAATTTTTATTCCATATTTAAAATGAAAAATATCAAAAATTGAAGAAACGAAAAACTGAATAATCATGAAAGTGATGATCTAAAATTGAATAAACGAAAAATTAAAAACCCAAGGGTCAGTTTATACAATGCTTTAATTGAGATTAAATTAATCAATCACGCATTGAATGAGACGTTTAGCGACCTCTGATTGGTGCAGAGTCGGTCACGTGGTACTTTCCCGCATTAAAAAATTAATTGAGTTTTTGTAAACCGGCTCTTAAAGTTGAAAAATCCAAAAATTGAAAACCGAAAAATATTTAAATCTAACATTGAAAAAACGAAAAAATGCAAAAATAAAGACGAAAAAAAAACGAAACAAAAAACTGCATCGCAAAACATTGAAGAAATGAAAAATCGAAAAACTGAAAAATTTAAAAATGAAAACTTGAACATTTGCACATCGTAAAATTGAAGAAACAAAAAGGAACAATTGAAAAATTGAAAATTATAATAATAAAGAGAATGAAAAACTGAAATGAAAATTTTCAAATCGCAAATTTGAAGAAATGAAAAATTACAGAATCGAAAAATTAAAAACTGAAAACTCGGGAAATTCTAAATGGAAAAACTGCAAAATCTAAAAATTGAAGAAACCAAAACTAAAAAATTGAAGAAAGGAAGATCTGAAAAAATCTAAATTGAAAAAACAAAAAATCATAAAATCGAACAAATGAAAGAATAAAAAAACCGAAACGAAAAATTGAAAATCAAAAATTTGAAGAATCGAAAAATTGAATAAATGAAAAAGTTTTAAAATCCAATAATCGAAAAATGGAAAAATTCTAGAATCGTAAAATTAACAAAGTTAGATAATTTAGAAATTTATAATTTTTATTCCATATTTAAAATGAAAAATATCAAAAATTGAAGAAACGAAAAACTGAATAATCATGAAAGTGATGATCTAAAATTGAATAAACGAAAAATTAAAAACCCAAGGGTCACTTTATACAATGCTTTAATTGAGATTAAATTAATCAATCACGCATTTAATGAGACGTTTAGCGACCTCTGATTGGTGCAGAGTCGGTCACGTGGTACTTTCCCGCATTAAAAAATTAATTGAGTTTTTGTAAACCGGCTCTTAAAGTTGAAAAATCCAAAAATTGAAAACCGAAAAATGTTTAAATCTAACATTGAAAAAACGAAAAAATGAAAAAATAAAGACGAAAAAAAAACGAAACAAAAAACTGCATCGCAAAAAATTGAAGAAATGAAAAATCGAAAAACTGAAAAATTTAAAAATGAAAACTTGAACATTTGCACATCGTAAAATTGAAGAAACAAAAAGGAACAATTGAAAAATTGAAAATTATAATAATAAAGAGAATGAAAAACTGAAACGAAAATTTGAAGAAATGAAAAATTACAGAATCGAAAAATTAAAAACTGAAAACTAGGGAAATTCTAAATTGAAGAACTGCAAAATCTAAAAATTGAAGAAACCAAAACTACAAAATTGAAGAAAGGAATATTTGAAAAAAATCTAAATTCTAAAAAAAAAAATCATAAAATCGAACAAATGAAAGAATAAAAAAAACGAAACGAAAAATTGAAATTCAAAAATTTAGAACCGAAAAATTCAATAAATGAAAAAGTTTTAAAATCCAATAATCGAAAAATGGAAAAATTCTAGAATCGTAAAATTAAAAAAGTAAAATAATTTAAAAATTATAATTTTTATTCCATATTTAAAATGAAAGCCATCAAAAATTGAAGAAACGAAAAACTGAATAATCATGAAACTGAAAGATCCAAAATTGAATAAAGGAAAAATTAAAAACCCAAGGATCAGTTTACACAATGCTTTATTGAGATTAAATTAATCACGCATTTAATGAGGCGTTTAGCGACGTCTGATTGGCGTAGAGTCGGTCACGTGGTACTTTCCCGCATTAAAAAATTAATTGAGTTTTTGTAAACCGGCTCTTAAAGTTGAAAAATCCAAAAATTGGCCAATTTCACATTGAAAAAACGAAAAATTACAAAAATGAAACCGAAAAAATAAAGATGAAAAAACCAAAACGACAACTGCATTCGAAAAATTAAAGAAATGAAAAATCGAAAAATTGAAACATCCAAAATTGATAAATCGAAAAACTGAAAAATTTAAAACTTGAAGATTTGCACGTCGTAAAATTGAAGAAACAAAAAAAGAACAATTGAAAAATCGAAAATTGTAAAAATAAAGAAAATGAAAAACCGAAACGAAAAATTTTAAATCGAAAATTTGAAGAAATGAAAAATTACAGAATCGAAAAATTAAGAACTGAAAACTCCAGAAATTCTATATCGAAAAAAAATCAAAAAATCGAAATATTGAAGAATCGAACAAATGAAAAAAATAAAAAAAAAACCGAAACGAAAAATTGCTTCAACTTGAAAGTAAAAATCATACCAACAGTCTTGTTATTACAGTTTATTACAGAAACTAATGATGAAATTACGCCAATGTGGGCTCTGATTAAAACCATCACTCTAAACTTTTACAATCAAAGTAAACGTCAACTTCCGGCTATCCAACAACAAAATAAATTGTTTACAGTACTTCTCCGCGTCTACAAAAAACAGTTTATTGTCGACATTTGTTGATATAAAACAACTCATCAGCAATCTCAACACAATTATGTGTGTTTTTTAAATTCCATGTATCAGCAATCCCACATTCCGCCTCAATCAAGCATATCAAACCAATTCCCAGCAACAATCCTCTACACGTTGGAGTGACGCAACAACGCCAATAAAAACACAATAGCCCTAATTCACGAAAACCAGTCGTGGTCAGCTTTAGAGTGCACGCGTCAAGGCGTCAATTTAACAAAATAAATGCAAGTCGCGCTTCTCACCAGCTCTAAATTTAGCTTTCAGACCGACCAACAACCGCACGCTTTCGCCGCGATGCAACTTGGAACCTCGCTCGTTTCTGTTAGGAAGTGGTGCAACAAGGAAGCGCAAACGTGATAAGACCAACTAAAACCTAGCATGGAAAACAAGCCCCGACTCCGACTCCACATCTGTCTAAACACTCCTGATAAAAATTAACGAACCCCCGGGTCACGGGTTATCGTGGTGCAGTGGAAGCCGTTGCCTTTTCCACAACAAACCGTCCACTCATTGTCAAATACCTCCGCTCGTGTCCGGCGTCAGCTTGACTTTCCCCTTGTCCAAGACGTCGTTGAAGGCCGGCCAGCCGCAGCCGCTGTCGTACTTGGTCTCCGAGCTGAACAATGCCTGTTCGCAGACGATGCACACGTAAGTACCCGGCTCGTAGAACTTGTTGTAGCACCCTGAAACGCGAGCGCTCAGAACGGCCCCACGAGGCTCCGGTCGTACCTGTGAAGGGGCGCTCGGTGCCCTTCTCCTGCGTCACGTTGTACTGGATCGGGGTGAGCCGGTTCCTCAGCTCGGCCTTGTCCACCTTGTCCGCCATCCTCGCGACTGAAAAACTGTGTCACTCGAAGCCGATTCCAATGCGAGAATGACACACACCTGGTGAATTATGGACGAGTTTCCTGCTTAAAGCGTGCGCTGAAAATCGGAACGAATTGCGTAGTGCACCTACTGTGTGTTTGATCATCACATTTGAGCACATTCGTCGACGGCCGTGCCGATATTTAGATAAAATGACCGAGTTTCCTTGGGTTACGTAAGCCAGATTGTGCGCACATAACCTCACTTTTCCGCACACCGGACACTTGACTGGATTTGCGCATTAATCACTCAATTACGGTGATTAAAGCGGGGATTGAGCTAATTGTGGCTAATTTGATGTAACTGAGAGCACAATGCACTCAATTAGCGCTTAATTGTATTATTTCGTCGGTTTTTTGCTTATACCGGTTCGAGTTTTTTTTGACATTTTTCATTTTTGACAGGTTAATTGGCACTCCGGTGGTGGCTAAAGCCAATACGACGGGTTTTTAAATTACCTGTTTCCGGTACCTTGTCCATTAATATTTTTTTTTAGTAAGGGTTAATCACAAACGCTAACCTCGATGTTGCATTATTACTTAACACTTTTATAAACAAATAAATTATGTAATATTGACTCGGTTCGTCAATGGTTTCAGTGTGATAATTGAAAGTAATCAATTTACTGTGACTCTATTATACATTTTGTTTTAAAACGGAGAACAGATTAACGAACCCAAAAATACGGAAGTCTGTTTGTAAAAAGTCATTCAAAAAAATCAATACAAATTTTTGGGCCCCTTTTAAGTCTAAAAGTCACTGAGCTGTTCCAAATAAGACATTTTTTGTTTTAATAAAATCAAGCGCTAAAAAACTGTGAAAACTGCGCTCAACATTTTATTGAAAATTATTGATCAAGCTTAATTATATCTTTTTTGACATTTCCAGCTTGTAGAATATGACCATCTGGAAATCGAGTCTTTTTCAAATGATCCAAATTTTATACACTTTTAAATGAAGTAAAATTCGGTCTTTCAGGCGCCTCTAATCACAGGACTCCGAGATTCTTTCAAACTACTTTAAAAACAAGAGACATGGAGTCCTCGAGATTCTCTCTGATTACTTAAAAAAAAACACAAAGGGTTACCGAACTTCTTTCAGTTGTTTCAAAACAAGGCAAAGGATTTCCAAAAATCATTCAAACTACTTCAAAACGAAAACAAAAAGGGTCATCGTTCTTTCAAACTAAAACTTAAAAAAAACACAGATTTTCCGAGATTCCTTCAATTACTTCAAAACCAAGATCCACAAGGAGTCCCCGAGATTCTTTAAATCTACTTCAAACACAAAGTACAAGAATTCTTTCCGATTTCTTCAATTACCTCAAAAACAGAATCTAGAATCTTTTAAAATATACCTCAGAAGCAAAACACACGTGGTCCCCGAGATTCTTTTAAACTACTTCAAAAACCAAACACAAGTTGTCCCAGAAATTCTTTCAAACTATTTCAAGAGCAAAACACAAAATGTCTTCGAGATTCTTTTAAACTACTTCAAAAACAAAATACAAGTGTTCCCGAGATTTTTTCAGACTACTTCAAAAACAAGATCCACAAAAGGTCCTCGAGATTATTTCAAAACTACTTCAAAAAGAAGACACAATTGGATTTCCGAGATTCTTCCAACCTACTTCAAAAATCAATTAATTTGTCCCCGAAATCTTCAAACTACTTCAAAAACAAAACATAAGTGGTCCCGGATATTCTTTTAATCTACTTCAAGAACACCAACCATAAATGATTTCCAAGAGTCTTTCAAGTTATCCACAAGATTATTCTTCCAACTTACAAGAAAGAACAAACCCAAGTTCTCCCCGAGATTCTTTCAAACTATTTCAAGAACAAAACACAAAATGTCTTCAAGATTCTGTCAAACTACTTCAAAAACAAGACACAAGTGTTGTTGTAGATTGTTTTAATCTACTTCAAAAATAATATCTACAAGACGGCCTCGAGATTCTTTCAAAATTATTTCAAAAAAAATACACAAAGTATTCCCGAGATTCTTTCAACCTACTTCAAAAACCGAACACAAGTTACCCCAGAGATTCTTTTAATTACTTAAAAAACAGGACCCACAGGTGGTCCCCGAAATTCTTTTATTCTACTTCAAAAAGAAGAACCATAAGTGGTCCTCGAGATTCTTTCAAACTACTTAAAAATAAGACACAAGCGGTAGCCAAGATCGTTTTAATCTACTTCAAAAACAAAACACAAGGATTCACTGAGATTCTTTTAATTCCTTCAAAAACAAAACCCACAAGAGGTCCTCAAGATTTTTTTAAACTACTTCAAAAACAAGATACAAGTTGACCATAAAATTATTCTTCCAACCTACTTGAAAGAGCAAACACAAGTTCTCCCCGAGATTCCTTCAAACTACTTCAAGAACAAAACACAAAATGTCTTCGAAATTCTTTCAAACTACTTCAAAAACAAAACACAAGTGGTCCCCAAGATTCTTTTAATCTACTTCAAAAACACCAACCATAAGTGGATTCCGAGATTCTTTCGATTACTTCAAAAACGATACCAACAAGGGTCCTAAAGATTTTTTCAAATTACTTTAAGAATAAAACACAAAACTACTTCAAAAAGAAGACACAAGGTGTTCCCGAGACTCTTTCAACCTACTTCAAAAACCAAACACAAGTTATCAAAGAGATTCTAGTAATTACTTGAAAAACATGACCCACAGGAGGTCGCCGAGATTCTTTTATTCTACTTCAAAAAGAAGAACCATAAGTGGTCCTAGAGATTCTTTCAAATTACTTTAAAGGTAAAATACAAATAGTCCCCAAAATTCTTTTAAACTAGGTACTTCAAGAACAAAACACAAAATGTTTTCCAAATTCTTTCAAACTACTTCAAAAACAAGACACAACTGGTACCCAAGATCGTTTTAATCTACTTCAAAAACAAGACCTACAGGAGGGCCTCGAGATTCTTTCAAAACTACTTCAAAAACAAAACACAAACTATCCCCGAAATTCTTTTAAACTATGTACTTCAAAAACAAAACACAAGGTGTTTCCGGGATTCTTCTCGTTACTTTAAAAACAAGACATGAAGGATCCTTCAGACTTTTTTCAATCTACTTCAAAAACCAAATACAAGTGGTCCCCGAGATTCTATTAATTACTTCAAAAACAAAACCCAAAGAAGGTCCTCAAGAGTTTTTCAAACTACTTCAAAAACAAAACACAAGGTTTTCCAGAGATTTTTTCAAACTTCTTCAAAAACAAGACCCAGAGGATTCTTTGAGATTTCTTCAATTACTTCAAAAACAATAACCATAAGTGGTCCTCGAGATTCTTTCAAACTATACCTACTTCAAAAACAAAACACAAACTATTCCCGAGATTCTTCCAATTACTGCAAAAACAAGACCCACAGGACGTCCCCGAGATCCTTTCAGTTACTTCAAAAACAAAACAAAGTGTCCTCAAGATTCTTTCAAATTACTTCAAAGGCGAAACACAAGTGGTCCTCGAGATTCTTTTAAACTACTTCAAAAACAAAACACAAAATGTCCTCGAATTTCTTTCAAACTATTTCAAAAACAAAGCACAAGTGGACTCCAAAACTGTTTTAATCTACTTCAAAAACAGAACGCAAGAATTCCCTGAGACTCCTTCAATTACTTCAAAAACAAGACACAAGTGGTCCCCGAGATTCTTTTAAATTACTTCAAGAATAAAACACAAAATGTCTTCGAAATTCTCTCAAACTACTTCAAAAACAAGACACAAGGATTCGCTGAGACTCCTTCAATTACTTCAAAAACAAGACATACAAGAGGGCCTCGAGATTCTTTCAAAACTACTTCAAAAACAACACAAGGGGTTCCCGAGATTGTTTCAACCTACTTCAAAAACCAAATACAAGCTATCCCAAACATTCTTTCAATTATTTGAAAAACAAGACTCACAGAAGGTCCGCAAGATTTTTTTAATCTACTTCAAAAAGAAGTGGTCCTCGAGATTCTTTCAATTTAAGTCGAAGACAAAACACAAGTAGTCCCCAAGATTTTTTTAAACTATATACTTCAAAAAAAAACACAAGATGTTTCCGAGATTCTTTCAATTAAAAACAAAATGCGAAGGGTCCCCGAGATTCTTTCAATCTACTTCAAAAACCAAACACAAATTATCCCCGAGATTTTTTTAATTACTTCAAAAACAAAATTCACAAGAGGTCCTCAAGATTTTTTCAAACTACTTCAAAAACAAGACACAAGTGGTTCCCGAGATTCTTTTAAACTGCTTCAAAAGCAAAACACAAGTGGTCCTCGAAACTCTTTTAAACGACTTCAAAAACAAGACACAAACTGTTCCCGAGATTCATTCAATTACTTCAAAAACAAAACCCACAGGAGGTTCCTGAAATTCTTTCAGTTACTTCAAAAACAAGACCCACAAGAGGTCCTTCAGATTTTTTCAAACTACTTCAAAAACAAGACACAAGTTGTTCCCAAGTTTCTTTCAAACTACTTCAAGAACAAAATACAAAATGTTTTCGAGATTCGTTCAAATTACTTCAAAAACCAGGCACAAATGGTCTCCGAGATTCTTTTAAACTGCTTCAAAAACAAGACCCACAGAAGGTCTCTGAGATTCTGTTACTATACTTCAAAAACAAGAACCATAAGTGGTCCTCCAGACTCTTTGAAATTACTTTTAAGGCAAAACACAAGTAATCCCCGAGATTCTTTTAAACTACATCAAGAACAAAACACAAAGTGTCTTCGAGATTCTTTCAAACTACTTCTAAAACAAGACACAAGTGGTCCCCGAGATTCTTTTAAACTATGTACTTCAAAAACAAAACACAAGTTGTTTGCGAGATCTTTCAGTTACTTTAAAAACAAGACATGAAGGGTTTCCGAGATTCTTTCAATCTACTTCAAAAACCAAACACAAGTTGTTTCTGAGATTCTTTTAATTACTTCAAAAACAAAACCCACAAGAGGTCCTCAAGATTTTTTCAAACTACTTCAAAAACAAGACACAAGAGGTCCCCGAGATTCTTTTAAACTATTTCAAACACAAAACACAAGGTGTTCCCGAGATTTTTTCAAACTTCTTCAAAAACAAGACCCAAGGATTTTGAGATTCCTTCAATTACGTCAAAAACAACAACCATAAGTGGTCCTCGAGATTCTTTGAAACTATACTTCAAAAGCAAAACACAAGTGGTCCTCGAATTTCCTTTAAACTACTTCAAAAACACCACACAAACTATTCCCGGGATTCTTTCAATTACCTCAACCCACAGGAGAATCTCGGGGACGATTCTGTCAGTTACTTCTAAAGCAAGACCCACAAGAGGTCCTTCAGATTTTTTCAAACTACTTCAAAAACAAGATACAAGTTGTTCCCAAGTTTCTTTCAAACTACTTCAAGAACAAAACACAAATTGTCTTCGAGATTCGTTCAAACTACTTCAAAAACCTAGCACAAATGGTCTCCGAAATTCTTTTAATCTACTTCAAAAACAAAATACAAGGATTCCCTGAGATTCTTTTAATTAATTCAAAAACAAGAATCTTAAGTGGTCCTCGAGATTCCTTCAAATTACTTCAAAGGCAAAACACAAGTGGTCCCCGTGATTCTTTTAAACTACTTCAAAAACAATACCCACAGGAGGTTCTCGAGATTCTTTCAGAACTACTTCAAAAACCAATCACAAGTTGTCCCCCAGATTTTTTCAAACTACTTCAAGAACAAAACACAAAATGTCTTCGAGATTCTTCCAAACTACTTCAAAAACAAGAACCATACGTGGTCCTCGAGATTCTTTCAAATTACTTCAAATGCAAAACACAAGTAGTCCCCGAAATTCTTTTCAACTACTTCAAAAACAAAACACAAGGAGTTTCCGCGATTATTTGAATTACTGCAAAAACTAAACACTATTTGTCACCGAGATTTTTTCAATTACTTCAAAAACAAGACCCACAAGAAGTCCTTAAGATTTTTTCAAACTACTCCAAAAACAAAACACAATATGTCCTCGAGATTCTTTCAAACTATTTAAAAAAAAGACACAAACGGTTCCCAAGATTGTTGTAATCTACTTCAAAAACAAAACAAAAGGAGTCCCTGAGTGCCCTTCAATTACTTCAAAAACAAGACACAAGTGGTCCCCGAGATTCTTTCAAATTACTTCAAAGGCAAAATATAAGTAGTCCCCGAAATTATTTAAACTACTCGAAAAACAAGACAAAAGTCGTCCCAGAGATTCTTTTAAACTATGTACTTCAAAAACTGAACACAAGATGTTTCCGAGATTCTTTCAATTACTTCAAAAACAACAACCATAAGTAGCCCTCGAGATTATTTCAAACTACATACTTCAAAAACAAAACTGAAATTATTCCCGAGATTCTTTCAGTTGCTTCAAAATCAAGACCCAAAATAGGTCCTTCAGGTTTTTTCAAACTATATACTTCAAAAACAAGATACAAGTTGTCCCGAAGATGATTCTTTCAACCTACTTCAAAAACCAAACACAAGTTGTTTCTAAGGTTCTTTCAAACTAGTTACTTCAAGAACAAAACACAAAATGTCTTCGAGATTCTTTCAAACTACTACAAAAACAAAACACAAGGTGTTTCCGAGATTGTTTCAATTACTTGAAAAACAAGACCCATAGGAGGTTCCCGAGCTTCATTGAATTACTTCAGAAACAAGACCCATAAGAAATCCTCAAGATTTTTCGAAAATACTTCAAAAACAAAACACAAAATGTCCTCGAGTTTCTTTCAAACCATTTCAAAAACAAGGCACAAGTGGACCCCAAGATTGTTTTAATCTACTTCAAAAACAGAACACAAGGATTCCCTGAGACTCCTTCAATTACTTCAAAAACAAGACACAGGTGTTTCCGAGATATTTTTAAACTACTTCAAAAACAAGACCCACAAGTGGGCCTCGAGATTGTTTCAAAACTACTTCAAAAACAAGACACAAGGGGTTAACGAGATTCTTTCAACCTACTTCAAAAACAAGACACAAGGGGTCCCCGAGATTCTTTTAATCTACTTCAAAAACATAACACAAGGATTCCTGGAGATTTCTTAAATTACTTCAAAAACAAAAGTGATCCTCAAGATTTTTTCAAATTACTTCAAAGGCACAACCAGTGAGATGTAATAATATATGTATAGTAGACACCTTTGGGCACAACACAAAAGGTCCTCTAGATTCTTTCAACCTACTTCAAAAACCAAAAACACAAGTTATCCTTTTCAGTTACTTGAAAAACAAGACCCACAGGAGGTCCCAAGATTCTTTCAATTACTTTAAAACCAAGACCCAATAAGGAACCCCCGAGATTTTTTCAAACTACTTCAAAAACAAGACACAAGGGATCCCCGAGATTCTTTCAACCTACTTCAAAAACCAAACACAAGTTGTCCCCGAAATTCTTTCAAACTACTTCAAGAACAAAACACAAAATGTCTTCGAAATTCTTTACTACTACTTCAAAAATAAGACAAAAGTGGTCCCCCAGATTTTTTTAATGTACTTCAAAAACAAGAACCATAAGTGGTCCTCGAGATTCTTTCAATTACTTCAAATGCAAAACACAAGGTGCTTCTGAGATTCTTTCAATTGCTGCAAAAACCAAACACAAGTTTTCACCGAGATTCTTCCGATTATTTCAAAAACAAGACCCACAAGAAGTCCTTGAGATTTTTTGAAACTACTCCAAAAACTAAACACAAAATGTCCTGGAGATTCTTTCAAACAATTTCAAAGACAAGACACAAATGTTTCCCAAGATTGTTTTAATCTAATTCAAAAACAAAACACAACGATTCCTTGAGTGTCCTTCAGTTACTCCAAAAACAACACACAAGTGGTCCCCGAGATTTTTTTAAACTACTTTAAAAATAAAACATAGGTGTTCCTGAGATTTTTTCAAACTACTTCAAAAACAAGACCCACAAGAGTGCCTCGAGATTCGTTCAAAACTACTTCAAAAATAAGATACAACGGGGTTTCCGAGATTCTTTCAACCGGCTTCAAAAACCAAACAAGTTGTCCCCGAGATTCTTCAAACTACTTCAAAAACAAAACACAAAGTGTCCTCGAGATTCTTTCAAACTACTTCAAAAACAAGACACAAGGGGTCCCCGAGATTCTTTTAATGTACTTCAAAAATAAAACGGAATGATTCCTTAAGATTTCTTCAATTACTTTAAAAAAATATCTCTTAACTGATTGATACTGGATATTTCCGAAAAGGTTTACTTAGATTCCGGAAATTCTGTAATTAGTAATACACTGTATAATCTCAACGGAGATATTGTTGACCCCAGTGGGAAAAAAGATAAACCTTAACCCCTATAGACGTAACATATAACATGTGTTTGATTTTGAAATTGTATCTATGTATATGTTTTTCCGTAAAATTTTATTATAAAGATTGGTTGTAGTTTTAAGACTAAAATATAGAGAAAGAAGTAAAAAATAAACCCGACAGAATAAACTAGACATTCATACATTTACATATAGTGTGTACATATGCAACACAAAATACACATCGTAAGTAAAATTTATTTTTTGGAAAATTACGTATGTTTTGAGCTTCAACCACCATTCACCATGATAATTACGGACTTTAGTTCCCCAGAACACTGACTCCATCTATGTGCGGCTTTACGAACTGTCCTAAACGGAAATTTTGTTTGGCTACAATTTTGAGAAACTACGGTTTTTGTAAAACTTCGTAGTGGGTTTTAAAGTTTTTAGTTTTGTATTTTGTTCATCTCAGAAAGTTTTAAACGGTTTTCTTTATCGTTTCAAGTGGCACCTGGAGTTCTAACATAATTTTGACACCTTTCTGCCATTCTCTGCTCCCTAGGAACGCCAAACAAAATCAGTCCGATCCTACCCCGTCCACTACACAATCAAAATTTCAGTGCCCCTTTTATTAAAAGTTGCCTCTTCGCTAGAACCCTCCACCTCAAAATGTCCGCGACCCGTAAGCTCTCCGAGGTCGTGTTCCTAGACACTTCCCTTGACAAGCGCCAAATGTCAACAATTTTCAAACACACAAACATCTCCCGCACGAAAATTTCGGTTCCATCCCAACTCCAACTCAAAGCAACTAAAATGAACACCGACAGCCTGCGGCCCCTCCCCGGGACCAAACCCACCCCCGTCATCAGCCTCAACCATTACATATTTTCAGGCATCCGCACCAAACCCTCCCGCGACGACATTTACAAGAAAATCCTCATCCCCAAAGACATGAACAAGTCGAGGTTCCACCAGAGGGGCTTGATTTTCGTGTGGCCCCAAAAGCGCCCCTCGTTTTTCTACAACAAGGAACTGATTTGGTTGACTTGGTTCTTGGCTCACGCGCTCTACTGGTTGCACGTCGTCGGTATTTTACCCTCGGGGGCAGGTACTGTTTTGTTGTCACCCTAAAACTGTGTTAATCGCTCCCCTTTAGCCGTACCCTTCAAGCAGCCCCCGTGGAAGTACGAGCCGCCCCTGTACCGCCCCAAGAGTCGAGATTTCATCATAGAGCCCGACTGGGAGTCGTACAATTACGGCCCCTTGGACAAAAAGTCGCTCAATTTTTGAATAGGGGGCTGCGCGGTAACGACAGGAGGTGATCGCTGACTGAATAAATTCTCCGGACGTTCGAGACTAGTTGTATTTTAGTTGGTCGTGTGTATTTTCACTGTTCGTTTCGTGTTTTCGTTGATTTTTATTTTAATAAAGTGTTTTTTTGTGCTGGGGTTTGGGGATTTGGCGATTGCGTACTGCGGTTAAAGTCGGTTAAAAGTCGCTGTTTCGCTGTCAATTCTGTCAATGTTTTGCAAATGGCCGCACTGCGTGTTGTGCTCCGCGAAATGTTAAAAATTTATAATTAATTCAAATCCTGTGTCGATATGCGATGAATAATGAAGAATTTGAAGAGCGTGTCGGTGCAAGTAATTGACAGCGACATAGCACTGCTGCTGCCGAATGGTGTGTATGAGATTAAGCAAATGGAGCCAAAATCTTCCAGGTTAAGACGGATAGGGTATTTCTGCGTGGCCCTCGCCCTGTTTGGCATCGTGGGCCTCGGCTACTTCTGTCCAGACAAAGTACGTAACGTTTTCATTCATGAGAGTGATGACCGACTGCTGAGTTCTTCCAGGTATGTGCCCTTAGCAACAAAGAAGCATCCATATCATTAGAAGATAGTATGGGGAAGCCCTTAGCTCAAGCGAATAGCAAAGTAGGTTTAAGCTACGACGATATGTTAAACGACGATTTTTCCTTTGACATGGACTCGCACGATGTCATGGTTTTCCTCCACATGCAGAAAACTGGTGAGTGAAATAAACAAAGACAACTCCAAGACGTAAACAGAATGGGGTGGTTTTATGACTGCAGACCTCTTCTCTTGTTTATGATATTTTATCGTTTATTTATGTTGGGTTCACTTTGGACTAGTTTATGACAAGCCATTGAACTCCCCCTTTTTTTTTATTGGCAGCACTGGATTAATATTAATATTTTTAAAAATCATAACGTTTGTTATTCTGCTCAGTCGTCACCGGAAATATTATTTTCACTAGCCACAACAATAATAGTATAGATAGATCTCTAACTTGTTGATATTCACAGGAAGTAGTGTCCAATCGCCTTGATAAAACTCTCACGTCAGTAAAGTGTGAGCGTTTTTTTTTTTTTAATTTTCTGCGGCTCCCACACGTTTCGTGGCTGCGGAAACAGTTAATTTATTCGCGTGTTTGACTAGTTTATCAATTGTTGAAATTGTCATTTCAGATAAAAATATTGCGACCTTGTCATTAATTGTGCAAATAAGGAACGTCCAAATAGAGATATCTTTTTACATATTTGTGATATCATTATTAAAGTGACGTGCGATTTTCGCAGAATTTTTACTGTTTGCTTTATCAGGAAAAAAAGTTAAATATTTAATGTCTGGCTTGATTTATACTTTTTGAATGAAAACCAAAAATGTTTAAACATATTTTTTTGTAGATTGTTTACACTGATATAATTTATCTTCAATTTTGGATTTTACTGATTGTGTTTACGTTTGCTCTTTTCTAGCTACTTTTAGCATTTCACAAAAAGTAATCACTGGGAATTACTCCACCTCATTTTAAAAGATTTCGTATTTATCCGGGTCGGAGAAGTTTATTTTGGGTTACATTCAAAATTTGTGCGAAGGAGATATGATTTTATTTTCATAAAATTTACTTCAAAGAAGTGTGTAAATATTTTAATCATAAATTCTGGAGCTTTTCTAACAACACCTTTGCAGTGTATTATATACAATTTAAGTTTAATTAATAAATTAAAAATCTGATGTTTGGTATTTGGCATGTTTTTACCAAAGTCGAGAGCGCTGGTTTACGGAATTTTGAACCCGAAGTCTGAATTGAAATTTTATTTATTCAAGTTAGTGATTAATAAAGGTTTTCCAGTCTGTTTAAGCTGGTTAAGCCGTTAACACGAATAAGTAGGATTCTTTGTGTTTTCCGAATCTAATTTCATATTTTCTCGTCGTTTCCTGTTTTCTAGAATGCCAAAAAGTGTGATTTTTTATCCCTGTTTTTAACCTTATGCATCCAGATTAAAAAAAAAATCAAAATTGTGCGATGAAATTTTGCAATTTAACGTGGTAATTCAGTAACCAGAATTCGTCTATTCATACCTTTTAAAAATTTCTTCCTAAAATGTTCTTGTCTAAATCTTGCTTAAAATTCATAGGATAATATGTTTCTCTGTTTATGACTGGTTTATTTGGTTCTTTGTCTATTTTTTGACGCTTTTTTTTCTCTCATTTTTAACTGATTTGTATAGTCTTTTTCATTAGTTTCAATTATTTTGTCGTTTATTATCACACTTTTTGTTGCGTTTTTATCACATTTTTAGCGTTATTTTTGTTGCATTTTCCTTCTTTTTAGTGGCAGTTTTAAATCACTTTTTTAGATGCATTTTTGTCCGCATTTTTAACACTTTTGCTACATTTTACGCTCTTTTTTTTCAATTTGCCTTTTTTTCATTTTTTGTGTGCGTTTTTCTTCCAATTTTTTTGTCGTTTTATTTTCACTTTATTTTTGTCTCCCTTTGTTTTAGTCTTTTTTCTTGCCTTTTTTTACTACCCTTTTTTTTCCCTTATTTTTGTTGCCTTTTTCCTGTACTGTTTTCTTAGTGACTATTTTAATGTATTTTTTGAAAACATTTTGTTTTTTCGCGTTTTGACTCATTTTTGTCTGCCCAATGAACGCTTTTTTGTCGTCATTTTTGTCCCTTTTTGACTCTCTTTGTGCATTTATATGGGTTTTTTGTTTTGTTTGTGTGTCATGTTTCTTCTTTTTATCGTGTTATCAAGTAGTTTATTTTCGTATTTTTTGTTGCGTTTCTATCACTTTTTTTTTCACATTTTTTTATTTTATCAATTTACTTTTTTGCGCGTTTTTTCTTTCCATTTTCATTAGCTTTTTGCTGCATTTTCCCCCTATTTTTATTGATTTTTGAATGTTTCCCTTTTTTGGCTATTTAGCACCTTTTTTTCCTCATTTTTAACGGATTTTTATCGTTTTATTTACACTTTATATCGTCTCCTTTTTTAATCTCTTTTTTCTGTCTTTTTCGTTGCGTTTTTTCTGCACTTTTGTTCCTTATTTTTGTTGCGTTTTTCTTGTATTCGTTTCTTAGTGACTATTTTGTCGTATTTTTTGAAAATATTTTTTATCTCTTTTTTGGTCACTTTTGTCACTTTTTATACGTTTTTGTCTGCCCTATGAACGCTTTTTTGTCGTTATTTTTGTTCTTTTTTGACTCTTTGTGCATTTTTTTCCGTCTTTATCGTTTTATTAAGTCGTTTATTTTCATATTTTCTGTTGTGTTTTTATCACATTTTGTTCGTCTTTTTTAGCGTTATTTTTGTTCCATTTTCCTTCCTTATAGTGGCAGTTTTTGTCGACATCATCGGCTTAAATCACTTTTTTGGGTGCATTTTTGTCCGCCTTTTCAACACTTTTTTTTGCTACATTTTACGCTTTTTTTTTCAATTTGCCTTTTTTTTATTTTTTGTGTGCGTTTTTCTTCCCATTTTCAACGACAGTTTTTTCTTCCCATTTTTTTGTCGTTTTATTTTCACTTTATTTTTGTCTCCTTTTTTTTTGGTCTCTTTTGCGTCTTTTTTCGTGAGTTTTTTTTTCTACCCTTTTTTCTCCTTATTTTTGTTGCCTTTTTCTTCTACTGTTTTCTTAGTGACTATTTTGATGTATTTTTGAAAACATTTTGTTTTTTCGCGTTTTGGCGCATTTTTGTCTGCCCTATGAACGCTTTTTTTCGTCATTTTTGCCCCTTTTTGACTCTCTTTGTGCATTTATTTCGCTTTCTTGTTTTGTTTTTGTGTCATATGTTTCTTCTTTTTATCGTGTTATCAAGTAGTTTATTTTCGTATTTTTTGTTGCGCATTTTTTTCATATTTTTTGGCGTTATTTTTGTTGCGTTTTCCTTGTTTTTAGTGACATTTTTTGTCGACTTCATCTTTTTTTTTTATTACTTTTTGTTTTTTTTTTTGGTGCATTTTCCGCCCGTTTTTATTATTTTTTGAATATTTCTCTTTTTTTGGCTCTAGCACGGTTTTTTCGCCGCATATTTGTGATTTGTGAATGCTTGAAAATACGCAGAAAATGAAAAAAAAATCAAAGAAAAATCGACCAATCAAAAACAATTAAAAAGAACAGAAAAATAAAAAACCAAAAAATCGTGGTTTTTGTTTTTAAACGGATTTTCCTCGTTTTATTTTCACTTTATTTTCGTCTGCTTTTTTTAATTTCTCTTTTTTTGCGTCTTTTTTTTCCTTATTTTTGTTACATTTTTCTTGTATTCGTTTCTTAGTGACTATTTTGTCGTATTTTTTGAAAACATTTTTTATCTTTTTTTGGTCACTTTTGTCACTTTTTATGCGTTTTTGTCCGCCCTATGAACGCCTTTTTTTGTCGTCAGTTTTGTCCTTTTTTTGACTCTTTGTGCATGTTTTGACGCTTTTTTGTTTTGTTTGTTTTTTTGGCATGTTTTCCCTCTTTTTATCGTTTTATTAAGTCGTTTATTTTCAATTTTTTTGTTGCGTTTTCATCACGTTATTTTTCCGCCTTTTTGGCGTTTTTTTGCCTTTTTCTTATTTGTTATTATTTTTTGTTCATTTTTGTCCGCCTTTTTTTGCTGAATTTTCCGCCCATTTTTTTTTATTTTTTTAATTTTCTTTTTCTGGATGTTTTTTCCACATTTTTTGTTACAATTTCAACGAACTTACGCCGCATTTTTATTGCCTTTTTGAATTTATTTCTCTTTTGGCTCTTTTTAGCGCTTTTTTTCCATTTTAAAGGGATTTTGTCGTTTTATTTTCACTTTATTTTTTCCTCCTTATTTTTGTTGTCTTTTTCTTGTACTATTTTCTTAGTGACTGTTTTGATGTATTTTTGAAAACATTTTTTTGTCACTTTTTGGCGAGTTTTTGTCCGCCCCATGAACGCTTTTTTTGTCGTCATATTTGCCCATTTTTGACTTTTTTTTGTGCACTTTTGACGCTTTTTTGTTTTGCTCTTTTTGTTATATTTTCCTTCTTTTCATCGTGTTATTAAGTCGTTTATTTTTCTATTTTTGTTGCGTTTTTAAGACAATTTTTTCGTCTTTTTTGGTGTTTTTACTGGCATTTTTTGTCGACGTTTTTTTTAAATCACTGTTTTTGTGCCCATTTTCCGCCCATTTTTTTGTTTATTTTATCAATTTGCTTTTTTGCAACTTTTTTTTGCGTGTACATATTATCTTCCCATTTTCATCGGCTTTTTGTCGCCTTTTCCCCCTATTTTTATTATTTTTTGAATTTGTTGTCTTTTTTTTGGCTCTTTAGCACCTTTTTTCTTCCCATTTTTAACGGATTTTTAACGTTTTATTTTTACTTTATTTTCGTCTCTCTTTTTTAATTTCTTTTTTTGCGTCTTTTTTGTTGAAACATTTTTTTGGTGCGTTTTTGTCCACCCTATGAACTCCTTTTTTTGTCATTTTGTCCCTTTTTGAGTCTTTTGGTGCATTTTTTACGTTTTTTTTTTTGCATATTTTGCTTCTTTTTATCGTTATTTTCATATTTTTTGTTGCGTGTTTATCACAACTTTTTCGTCTAACGTTATTTTTGTTGCGTTTTCCTTCTTTTTAGTGGTATTTTTGTCGACATCATCTTTTTTTAATCACTTTTTGTTCTTTGCTGCATTTTCCGCCCATTTTTTTTTTATCAATTTGCTTTTTTGCAACTTTCTTTGCGTGTATTTTCTTCCCATTTTCA